GTATATTGTTATCATACAATAGATTCATGCATATTGATATGTCATGATTCAATGATATGAATGCACATACATGAATTATATGATGTTATGTGTGTTTCTGGGTATAGTGATATATGTGTTATATGATGAGTATATGGTAAGTGGAAAGGATTATTGATAGTGTTTGCATATGTATGTCTTTTATTTATATGAAATGATATATGTTTATATTATATGTTTTATATGCCTCACTAAGTCTATGACTTAGCGTGTAAGTGATTTACACGTAGGTACCAAGAAACGAGAAGTGAAAGAATAGAAGTGGCAAAGACAGTATCACTACTAAAAGATCAGATCAGAAATATTTGACAAAGTATGTATTTGGTTATGTATAAAGTGTTGGCATGTAATAAGTCATTAAGTACGAGCACTCTGATAAAGTCTGTATTTTGTTTTAAATAAAGTTTTAAATTTCCCGGGATTTTTCTTAAGAGTCAAGGTTTGAAAAGTCAATGTGACACGTCGGACTCGTATCCGGGTGTTACAACCTTGCACACTTTTCTTACTTTTATATCAAAATTATCATCAACACTTCCATATAACCCTTATCGTATCTGATCCTTTAACTAAATTCCTTTCATTTCTTTACTCCATTATTCCTTTATTTATTCCTTATACCCCAAATCATATCTTTCATTTCATGCTCATATACTCTTGTCTTATCACTTATACTCATCTCTATGTACCAATCTTTATGACATCCTCATAACTTTGATAACCCATTTACTTATACAAAACTTCATTCTTTATCATTTCTTATACTTGTATTTTCCTTCCTTAAGGTTCCATGCAAATACTTATCTTCTTTTCTATATCATAGTTATCTAATCAGAATACACAACTATATTCAGTTTCATATCATAATTGATTAACTCAACTTTACCTTTTTTTCAATCTTATAACCTTTACTCTGACAATTAATCAATAACATCTGTCTAATCGAGGGCACAAACCCTAGTCAACCAATCACATACATTCTTTCCAATCGAAATTATCTCAAAATTCGTTTACTTAACTTGTCAATTTCACCTCCATTCTCATACATCCTGAAATTTTCGTTATTCAAACTCAACATCATAACTTCCTTTGTCTTATAAACTGATCATTGATATATACATTCTCAAACTCTTCTTATCAATCCTCAGCTTTACTCAAATATACAAATCCTTATTTCCTTTACTATATCACCTTACTATGGTCCAAATATACAACTGTATCCAGATCCATTTTATATTTGGTTGTTTTATCCTGACAACATCTCAAAATATTAAATTCTATACCTTTTCCATCACATAATCTGGTTAGCCAACGCTAACTCTGCCCATCCAAAATGCAAACCCTTATTCTATCCACATTCTTGCTTATACATGGTATTATTCCTTTATTTCAAACTCATCGACTCTGGCTGTATATATCTTATACACTTGTCACTGATACACTTATTCTCGAATTCTCCACAAATTCTAATCACATCTTTAGATCTTTTAACGTCCTTATGGTGACACTTGCTCACCATATTCTATCTTATTCACTTTATAACAAAACTTCTCCATATCACTTTTTCTATTCAAAACAGTGAAAACCTTTTATCACTATTCAAATATGATTTCAATTTTCTGAAATCAACCTTTAATCTTATAAGGCACTTTCTGAGGTTTCTGATATTCATCCTACCTGGCCAAGGCAAGTGAATTGCTATCATCATCAGATTTGTCAGCTATCGATTCACTTCGACAATTTCTATAATCAATTTCTACTATATTATACAAATCTTGTTCTATTGGCAAGACAACATACTTCTTACCCTATCAGATCAGAAATTTTCACTCTGTGTTGGCATGTACACATTTTATGACACTTTGGACTTTAGTTTATACCGAGAATCAGCTAAACCGTGGCTCTGATACCATTAAATGTAACACCCCAACCCGTATCCGACCCGGATCCGAGTCCGAAGCGTCACATTAACTTTTCAAAAACCTTTACTTGTATAAAATAGTGAGTAATTTAAAATTTATTATTACATATAACTTATTCAAAACATTTATCGAACTATTCAGAGCTTAAACAATATATTATTTTGAATACATGCCAACTAAAACTTTATGTATTAAAATACATATTATTCACCTTTCTTCTGATCTGACCTTTGGTAAGGAGAACTAACCTGTCTTGCTCCACATTGCTCTTTACTCTTCTCACTTCGGTAACCTACATGTAAAATAATCACACACTAAGTCGATGACTTAGTAAGGCAATAAACATAAAATATAAACTATAGCTTGTAATCATGCATGAACAATTACTACTATCATTCATACCTTTATTCATGTAACAAATCCCTATAACACATATGCAATATATATCATTACATATAAAAACATATACACACATATATTCCTCACTCATCATTTCCATCATTAGTCTTATTTCACTATCCATATTATTATCATTTATATGTGTTGATCATATCCTCTTGAACCTAACCTTGTTAACCAACATATGCTTCTTGTAACCAAACAATACACATATCATCATATGACTCGTGCAATACACATATCAACATATATCACAAAAGCATATTTTTCACATGTAATATATTTATTGTTATATCTTTGTCTAGCCCATGTATATTTCTGAGAATTATAGATATGTGAGTCTATAGAGGTTGTGCACTAATGCTGTCACCACAGCTCGTATAAATGCTCCGAGGTGCCACGTAGAATTGCACCGTAGTGCCGTGTAGAAATGCACCGAAGTGCCATATAAGGTTGTCCCTAATGACCACATATCATTCCTTAAGAATCATTTACATATGCCAAGGATCAAGTATGTGTCTCAAAAGACCTCACACATGTTCCAAAGAATACATATATGCCCCGAATGACCGCGTAGACCCTCGACTCTTGGCATGCCAACTATGCCCTAACTCTCATGACACATAACATGGACATCATCATTTATGTCATTTCATATATATACTTTCATATCACATGTCATATAAGCTCATAGCTTCTTTTCGTATTCTCGTAGGATCACATAGTTCATATCTTATACTTTGTTTTCTCATGTTCACATATATCATATCATATGGCTCATATTTTTTTTCATGTAGTCACATAGTTCAGTTTTACATATGTTCATATATATACATCACATGGCGCATACTTCTCATATCATTACATTCAAAAGCATGTTAACACATATAATCATGCATACATACAATTCATGTCATTTATATATGTATAATCATATATTCATGCATTCTAACATAGGAAATAGACTCATCGTGAGTCTTGTTTCCATTCATCATACATCACTAAAATGCACTCAACTGAGCCTCACTAAGTTCCAATCCACTTTTATGATTTCCTTTCTTTCGATCGAATCTTGACTTGATAACCGTTCCGGGACTTGTTCGTGATCGATATCTATATAATCATACATTGATACATATTAGTATCCAATTGATATACACTAATCTATCATTTCTTAGACCAAAAGAAAGGTATAATTTTATTTCCCTTGAAGTGCATCGATGCATTCTACAGTGTATCGATGCATCCCTTAACATGTGCAGCGATGCACTCCTTATGCATCGATGCATTAATTGCATTAGATGTTTCCATTTTTAATGGGTGCATCGATGCACTTCCTGTGCATTGATACACTCTGAACAATTTCTGGAAATTTACCCTTGATGCATCGGTGCACCTTGAATGTGCATCGATGCACATAACCTAGAATTCATTTTTAAGCCCGAAAATCTACTCAAATCAACTCAAATGATTCATCTTTCAACCCATTTCATGTTCTCAACTCATATATACATGCTTAAACCAATTTATATCCATATAAACCATCTTTAGCTTCAAAATTCTTTTCCTCATATGTAACTCAAGAATTAAACCAATTTTGCAATTTGTTTTAATTCCAATTCTATGGCTTATAACTTCTTAATTAGACCATTGGCAAGTCAAATTTAACTTTCAACTCTAGTTATAAACTCTATTTCAAGATTTCACCCAAAAACATCAAATCTTTAATCCCTCCTAACTCCATCATACTTTGATTTTAAGATAACTTAAGATTTCCTTAAGCTTAGTTATCATCTAATAATCATAAACCAACTTTTATTTCCACAAATAATCAACTAACCACAAAACTCACCTTTGCCATGGTGACTCACGACTGAAGAAGAAGAAGAGAACTCTGGAAGTTTATTTTGCCTTCTTTTCTCTTCCACGTAGCTTCCTTATCTAATAAAGGAAAATAAAAAATCTTCCATGTCAAATGACTATTTTACCCTTTACTTCATTTAATAATTACTAAATAACCTTCATCATATTTCCAATAAATCATTGAACTATTCAATTATCCCACTTTAATCACCAATTCCTGAAATTTTACAATTTGGTCACTAACCCGGTATTGAGGATGTTACAAAGTATATATAGTTGATTTTAAAGGCATGAAGAGAGTCAAATAAGTAGAGTTTGGGGTAAAGTGTTGGAATTTTCAGGTTTAAGGAAATATATTATGGGTAGTAGTATCGGTACTGGTTGAGTTAGTACTAATACTACAAGGCAATTTATGAGAAAATTATGTGTAGGGTATGGATCTTCATGAGGTATCGATACCAGGGGTATCGATACCAATTGGGAGGTATCGGTGCCATTCTTTCAAAGAAATTACAGAATAAAAATTGGGTATTGATACCGTGGAAGGGTATCGATACTACAAGCATAAAAGTATTAGTATTGTGCTTGTAGTACCGATACTACTTGAGTTGGGAAATTGAAATTAGTGTTTTATTTAGTTGCATTGGTATGAATATTTTATAGTATTATGAATTTCGATATTCATTGGATTGTATATTCATGTAGATATCGATCGAAAGAAAAGTTCGGATAGGCCGTCAGAGTAAGATTCGAAGAGAACAAGAGATTGGTATTGTCAAGTGAGACCAAGGTGAGTTCATGGTATTCAACATAAGTTATGTTAGGGAATTAAGACTTGCGATGAGTCTAATTCCGATATTAGGTTATATGAGTATCAAAACATAAACATGTAGTAATATAATGCTAGATGTATATGAGTAAATGCATATGTTTAGACATTGAGTACATCTTTATAAGTGAACTATGTGAATGTATGTATGAGTGATAAATCATATGATCCTGAGCTATGTGTGATAATAAGTTATGTGATCATAAGAAATAAGATATATGATAAAAGGAATGTGAAAGTGATATATGTGATTACATGTCTATATGAATACAAGGAAATGTGACATGACATATATGTGATAATGGGATATGAGACTTTACGAGAATGTTACATGATATATGTGATATGAATGTGTATATGTGATAAACATAAAAGATAATGCTCATGTTATTTGTTATGAGAGCTAGGGGTATAGTTAATATGCCAAGAGTTTAGGGTTCTATGTGGTCCTTCGGGATATATATATAATCCTTTGGAACATATATGAGGTACTTTGGTACACCTACTTGATCCATTGGAATATGTATGTGGTTCTTAAGAAGTGGTCCTTCGGGACATATGTGTTATATGTGGTCATTCGGGACATCTATGTGGTCTTTCGGGACATTTCTACGCGGACCTTCGAGACAAATTCTATGTGCCCCTAGTGGGAATTATACAAGCTGTGGTGACAGCATATGTCCACAACCTCTATGTACTCACATATCTTTAGTTCTCAAAAGTATACATGGGTTAATAAAGACATAAAACAATTACAATGTATATGATATGTATATGTGTGACATGTTATGTAAAATGGATTACAGGATTCGTGTATATTGCTTGATTTATGTATAATATGATGATTACTAATGTTATGAATATGAGTTTTCAGTCATAAGTACTAATGATAAGATTGGAAATAATGAAAATGATTGTATATGAGTATAGAAGAATTGGCATATAAGTTAGTATGATATTATCGTATTTAATGTACATGCATTGATAGGTAGTGAAAGTTTATATTATTTATTTTTTATGTCTCACTAAGTCTGTGACTTAGCGTATGAGTGTTTTACACGTACGATCCGAGAAGTTCTAAAGAGAAGATAGACAGAGGAGACAACGTGACTTCTGCAAAGATCAGATCAGAAGAATTAACAGTAGGTTTCCCTATTGTATTATAGTGTTGGCATGTATTTAAAGAATTAAATTGTAAAAGCTCTTAACAATTTTTGTAAGCTTTTTGAGTTGATATATGTAAATTATTTAGCATGTTTAAATTTAAATTCTAGATTTTCCTCTATTTTTATACAAGAAATGATTTGAAAGGTTGATGTGATATTTCAGACTTATATCCGGGTCGGATACGAGTTAAGGGTGTTACATGCTTAAACTATATATATTTTATATTTCACGTGCTTAAAGCATTAATTGTCAAAGTAGGTCCCTAATATTTCATTTGATTAATATTTTAAAGTCAATTTGGTAGGTTCATTAAAAAAATATTATCCAATGAATGTTTGACATGTGACCTGATTTTTTAATTTTATATATTTTTTAAATAAAAAAATATATATTCTCTTTTATATTTCTTTTATTTTATTCTTCCTGACATTTATTCTTCTGTTAAACCCTAAATATATATATAAGCACCTATTTTAATAAAAAAATATAATTTAAATAATTACTTTTTAAAACCTATAATTATTAATAATTATTTTAAAATTGTCCTACCACAACAAAAATTGGTCCCTAATCTTTCATTTTCTGGAATGAAAAATTAAAAAGCAACCATTGGAACTACATTAATGGTCCCAAATCGAATTATATATCCATCCCACCACAACAACGTGATAAATTTTTACGTTTGCTTTTTGATTTCCTTCTCTCAAAGAGGCTGTATACTACAAACGGTCACAGACGCAAGGTCTTATATGAGAAGGATGAAATTTTAAAATTTTAAGATGAGATAAACTTATAAAATTTTAAAATAAGGTAAATTTATAAAATTTTAGGATACGAAAAAGTATTATCAATTGAAAGTATAAAAAAATATTTAAAATATATATTACTTTGAAACTTTTAAGGAACGATTGTTCTCATTCGTCACTCTTCGATCCATCCCTAACCGCAAAGTTCTTGGAGCTATTAAACTAATTAATGTCCCCAAAGCTCAACCGTATTAAACTAATTAAAAACAAAGCCATCAAACGACGTTGCTATATTCTCTTTCTTTTGTCTCCCCTTAAATCCTTTCCCTTTCCACGTCTGAAAGTCTTCCGAAATCCAATCAATATTAGTTAAACATACTTAATATATGTTTAATACTCCTATATTATTTTAAATAAAACCATATATCCATGTTTCTCGTATGATGTAGTGAATATCTAGCTGAATCTTTCAGCCTTACGTGGAAAGCAAAGCAACTTGCGGGGAGTTGAGAGGGACATTCTGGGAGAACAAAACTATTAACTTGTTTTTCCCTTTTAGCTTAGGACACATAGGGTGCATGTACCCAATTGGGAATTGGCCTACCAAATTCGGAATCCAAGCCACTTGCTGAGACTGGGTCCAATTGTTAGTGATTGAGCAGAAAATGGTGGATTAACGACTGCCTTTATCAGCTATTTACAAGCCAGCCAAACAGTGGCGGATCCACATCTTCTCGAGGGTGGACACGTAATGACAAATTAGACAATGACTTTGTGCCATTGCCGAGTTAATATCATGGCCTGGGCGTTGCAGTAAATTTATACAACTAACCTAGACGATATGACAAATTCCATTTAAGAAAATGAAAAAGAAACCTTAGAGATTCATGTTCCGAGAATCCAAGTTTTTTCAACACTGTAGTCCTCAATATGCTGACATTCCTCATTTTTTACGTGCAATGCTTAGCGGAATAATTTACCTCTCTACAACTAAAATCAGTGACGAAAGACAATATATATGTATCCATATGTCTATATGTATAAGGGATGGTTGTGATGCAAAAAATGAAGCTAGAGACACCAAAATTTTAACACCCTAAATTTACTAACAGCTCGGGCTTCTTTATTGGACAAATATAGGTAATATACTCCAAAAAGATGGTCTTCAAGCTGAGCAAAGAATACAAAAGTCTATAAACCAGCATGTAATGTAATTGATGCGAAAGTATATAAAAGAAATCGATCGTTAAGAATTAACGAGATCTTACCAATCAATGTCAAGATGGCCGAGTTGGTCTAAGGCGCCAGTTTCAGGTACTGGTCCGAAAGGCATGGGTTCGAATCCCATTCTTGACATCAAATTTTTGCCTGCTTTTTTCCTGGTCGCATTTAAGGGGAAGTGGATTCTGTTTTATTGAACCTTTATGTTGTTTCATGAGATGTTGATTGGCAAGAAATTTGGTGATTGCTTGATTAGGTATTCTTAATAGGCTGGTTACTAATGATTGATTTGAAAGTGGAGTAGTGGACGACAAGTGTATCTTGTGTGGTGCGGTGGCTTAATCGATAAGCCACCTTTTCTTTGAATGCATGTTTTCCGATGGTGTAAGAGGATTCTTGGTCTTTGTAATCGTGAGAGGCCTGTGTGTTCATGAGAACAGGAGCTATTTCTTAAGGGTAAGTCTCTCCTTACTCTTATTCTTAAATTGGCATGGAGTGTGTTGATTTACTTCATAATGGAGGAACCAAATAGGTGTACATTTAGCAGTTTGGTGAGAAGCGAAGAGGACATTTTCAATTTGGTAAAGTTTATTGTTCATCACAAACTATACAATAGGAAGTTAAATAGGATAGGGCCTATAAATTCTAGTCTTTGTACAGAATGAGATCTCTTAGATTAAATATCATGCGATTGATATTTGTTTATGTTGCGGAAGACGGCTATCGGATAGAGCAAAATCGCAACTGATAATTTGAGAAAATAAAAATAAAGATAAAAAGAGACACAAAATTTACGTGGAAAACCCCTAAATAAAATAGGGTAAAAACCACGGGCAACGGTAGTAGAATTTCACTATGAGAAAATAGGAATTACAACCTCTCTCGATCTACCAAAGAGAAAACAATGATAATTTTCTCTCGATAAAAAGGAAAAAACAACTCTCAAGAAACTCTCTAAATTCTCTCTAGTATCGGAAGAAAGCTAAAATGCTTTGGGATGATTTTGAAGCTAAATGAGCTAGGGTATTTATAGTTGAAGCTTTAAGGACTAATTTTTAAATACCCTAAATTACAATGACTAATTGCATAGTTTTACCATCCAAAATTTTCAACAATTTGGTGGCCAAATTTGACCAATTTTGCCACCCCATTAATGCCACCAAATTGCCACCCATAATGTTGACAATTGATGCAATTTGGTGTGCCAATTTTCAACAATCTCCCACTTGAAGATTTGATTGGAACAATCATATCTTCACACCATTCTTTCTACCTTGTACCTTTCATGTTGCTTACGTTTCTGACAGGCCACAGGAGGATCGACACCAGGTAAATTTATCAGCATTGATCGCCTTCGTCATGAAATCTGCTATGTTGTCTTTGGTATGGATCTTCTGCATATCTACCGTTCCTTCTTCCACCTTTTCACGAATGAAATGGTACTGAACTCATATGTGCTTAGTCCTTGAATGAAATGTTGGATTCCTTGCTAGATGCAAGGCGCTTTGACTGTCACAAAACAGAGAGACATACTCTTGATTGTGCCCAAGCTCCTCCAATAGCATCTTCAACCAAATTGCTTCTTTACTGGCTTGTGTAGCTGCTACATATTCTGCCTCTGTTGTGGATGTAGCCACAACTGACTGCAATTTTGAAACCCAGCTTACAGCTCCACCAGCAACTTTGAACACATATCCTGTAGTAGATTTGCTTTTATCCAAATCCCCTGCATAGTAAGAATCTACATACCCATTGATTAGTAAGTTTGATCCTCCGTAACATAATGCAACATTTGAGGTCCCTTTGATGTATCTTAGGATCCTCTTT